ATACAATTACCTGAAACAAATGTATATGTGTGTGTGTGTGTGTGTGTGTGTGTGTGTATAAATGTATATATATATATATATATATATATATATATATATATATATATATATATATCAGGGCACAAAACATTTTATTTTACCACTAAGAGTTCTCCTAAATAGCAGAAAAAGGTTTTAGCTAAGAGTTTTCTCTTAAAACCTATTCACAAAGCTGCTGAGACAAACTTTTACTAAGGAACAGAGAAAAGTCTTAAGCTAAGAGTAAGGGGGCGGGGTTGACCTCGTTGCTATGGATGATGTCAGCATGCTCACTAACTATACACACAGTGATTGGCTGATAGCCTCTGTCAGAGATTATTGCAATATCAAGATTTAAAAATAAAAATGTTAATTGCCACATTCAAATCAAGATATTAAAATGCAGGCTAAGTGAAATTAATTAAATAAACAAGTATGTTCAGCTAATTGTCAGCCTCTTACATGTATTCTCGTAAACAATTGGTGAATATGCATATAAACAGCCTTTTAGTTAACAGAGTAGAATAATCATGGCTAATAGTAAGACATAAAAGAAAACCAAACTGGATGCAAGAAGAGCTGTTATTTCTTGCCCAACTGGTTAATGAAAACAAGGATATAATCAAAAGAAAATTTGGAGTAGGGATAACCTCCAAAACCAAAGGCGATACCTTTTTAAAAGATCATTATCATCAAATGTTTCTAAAATGTTTACTTTCCGAGGCAGATTGCTGACAACAGCCATTTTATGATAGTTTGTGGCGTGGTCTTAGTGACTTAGGAGTCCTCTTCACTATGTTTCACAGATTTAGGAGCTAGTTTTAGTGCTAAAATGCTTTGTGAAATACTCTTAGAGCAAAAATGTAGGAGTCCTAAATTTAGGACTGACACGCTCATTATTTGGAAGTTTTTCTCCTAAATTGGTGAGTTATAAACTACTTCTGCCATAAGATGTTTTGGTTTAAGGAAGCCAGACCCATTTCCGCGAATCGATTTTTCGAACAGTTCAAAGAACCCAGAGCTCTGAAAGAACCGTTTCATGGCAATCACGTCACCTTCTTCTTCTTTGAGGTTTAACGGCGTAAGTAGCATCCAAGAGCGTTGCATTACCGCCATCTTCTAGATTATTCTCCTGCGATGTTATTCCAGTTGATTTCCTCCAGCTTGTTTTCCACAATCATATTTTCCTCATCAAACCCGTTCTAATTAAGAAATTACACATATTTTTCCTGCTTGGTCTAATCACCCCACTTTGCAGCATATCTTTAATACTTGTCCCTACCAACCCATCTCTTCTTAATTCTTCCATCATATTTCTCCTCTGATCTTCATAACTTCTGCAACTTAAAAGAACATGTTCTATGGTTTCTAATGTCTGACAATATTTACAAAAACCAGTAGGATGCTTCCCTATAATGTGTAATGTACTATTTAAATGACTGTGTCCTATTCTTAATCTTGTCATCACTATTTCTTCTCTCCTAGTCCCTCCCCAATTCCTCTCTGTACCAACTTTATTTTGAATGGCATACAAATGTCTTCCTTTAGCTTCCCTGTCCCACTGATGTTGCCATTCTCTCATGGCTTCTTTCCAAACTATAATTTTCCCTTCAGATTTTGACATCTTTATATTTACTTCAATATTCTCTTTTTTAATTGCTTGTTTAGCTAATTTATCCACTCTCTCATTGCCCAAAATGCCTATATGAGCTGGGGTCCAAATCAGTCGAATCTCATTACATTTTTCCTTTGCTCTTGTATATGTTGTTAATATTGTATAATATAACAGGTCCTGACGGCTATTGGACATACCTGCCCTGAGACTGTACAGTGCTGACAATGAATCACTTCCAATTAAAACTTTACTTATTTTGTCCTCCTTTCTAATCCATTCTAATGCCATCATGATAGCATATAACTCAACTGTATACACATTCATATCATTCGTGGTTCATTTGCTTTCTTCACCTCCTTGATTAACTATAAAAATTGCTGATCCAGTCCTTCCTGTTTCAGGACCTTTCGACCCATCTGTATAAATTTGAATATAGTCTCTGTATTTATCATCCACATATCGGTAGTATTCAGCTACGAGGTCTATACTATTGTTTATCATTTTGATTTGATGTAATTCAAAATCAACTTCCATGGTTTCAATCTTCCATACTGGAAAGTCAGGCCATACAATAGTTGGGCAGAACTCTTTTTCGCTCACCCCCAAATCTGTAGCTGTCTCATCTCCTATCCATCCAAAACTAAACTTTGACACCCTTTCCTTTTCCCAGCTAGCTTGCAGTACCCTCTTAGTAGGATGTCCTTCTCTATGTCCCTTTAGATTAATCCAATAATTTACCAGCAATTGTTTACGTCGAATGTCCAGTGGCATTTCTCCCGCTTCCACTTGTAGTGCACATACTGGTGACGTTTTTACTGCTCCTAAGCATAGCATAGTCTCAATGCTTTAGCCTGTATTGTATCAAGTCTCGCAAGTACAGATTTGGCTGCTGATCCATATACCACACTCCCATAATCTATTCTTGACCTTATTAAACTTACATACAGTATATGTATTTCAGTGATTAATCACGTCACCTAACCAGTTATGTCACTTTAAAGGCACAATATGTAAGATTTTTTTTATTAAAATATCCAAAACCCACTACAGTGTTATATATGTTGCTGACTTGTGTACTTACATTATCCCAAATGTTTCGAAGAATGTTTAAGTCCAGAGAAATCAGCAATTTTAACTAATGTCACGGACCGTGTCCATAGTGTCATTGTGTCGCCTGCCAATGATGTCATA